TAATTGAGTGTTTTGGATGAACAGTGAACATGAACAAAGTAACCTAACTTCAGTTAGCCCTGCTTTGAGCAGGAGCTTGGTTTAAATAACCTTCTGGTCCCAACCTAAATTAACCTTTGATTGCATAACTCAAGATCTGAAGGATTATTAGTCCTGCTAATTTGCTGACTGGAGCATTAGCAAACCAACTGTAAAAAGGATTTTAAGTTTCTTGAACTGTAGTCCAGTATTTTACTGGACTACATTTAAAAGCTTGATGTGGCATGACATCAGAGAAATAACAGCTACTTAAACCTATGAGATGACATGCTGAGACTTTCAGAAGGCATTCACAAAGCTCAAAAGGTAATTGAGACCTTCTTTTCAGTTTAACAGTGCAATCACAGCTGTTAGTGGATGACGAAACAGCCCCTTATCTACAGCATTCCGTTGTGATTTTTACTGCTGCAGCGTATCAGCCTGATCAGACCACAGTCTACACATAAATAGGACTCTAGCTTTTAGTTTTCACTTTTTTTTTTCTTTTTTTTTTTTAAGGTAAGACTAATAGTTTTTTTGGCCTGTATAAAGAGTGTAATTTTTTAAAAAGTAAATCCAACATAGGGATACAATGTAAAACACCTACCCATTTTGTCCTTTTTTTTTAGAATATCACTCAGCACTTTTGTACAAAAAGAAGGAGTCTTAAGTAATAAAGAATGTACTTCTGTTTGCACTCGTGCAGTATGGACACTGTGCTGTAAATACAGGATTGTTTCTGTGATTGAATTCTGTTGCATGAATGCTGCATGTGGAAAAACTGTATTCGGCATTTCATTTTCTGTTCTGTTGATGAAGTATTTTTCCTTTATGGTGATGGTAGGTTTCCGTGTTTTCAGTGTTCAGTTTGGGAAATGCAGGTGTTGTGCAGGTGTAGTTCAGGGAGTGAAGAGCTTGTAACACCTTGTGTGTACATGTGATATTTAATTTCTTTCTTTATGGAAATTCAGGGAGTCTGTAAGTTGATAATTGGTTCACTCTGGCCTTTTTAGACACGTGGGAGACGGGAGTGACTGTAAAATGTATTGTGTTGGTAGTTACTGTTGTATGAGCCAATGAATGAAACCAAAAGAATTAAGAATGCTGTTTGTTGTACAGTACAAAGCTGCTTTGTTTCACTTATCTCTTTATGTTCTTCAGAGAAGCTGCAGAACTTAAAAGCTCCTTATGCAAACTGGCCCTGTCACTAAGCACTGTCTTAATGGTTATATTTGGTACCCGGTTTAAATGTATTTCAGCTGTTGCTTGGGGTTCTCTTTCCTATTATGTTATCTTGAAAAAAGTATAGTTTTTGGTAGTGAGTCACTTTAAGATAAATTAAATTCATGGTAATTTTAAAAGGTAGAAATAGCCTGTTGTCCAAAATCAGAGTAGGGCTAATTTGTCTGTTGTTCCAATGATCATATATTCTGTACTGTACGTAATGAACCAGTTTCAATAAATGTAAGAACACACTGTGCAATCTATATTTAAGCAATAAAATAAACCAAAATTTAAAAATTAATCCTTTCTAAGGTGTCTGTTAATTTTTATTGCTCACAATTTATATGTCAATTGCTAATTTTTTAGCATTTAAAATAGCCCTCAGTTTACACACTTTTTTTTTTTCTTGCAGATATTACAACATTGCATTGTTATTAAACTACTGCATCTATTTATTATTAAACCTGGACAGGCTTGAGAGGTAGGGCTGTGAGAACCTTATGAGGTTCAACAAGGCCAAGTGCAAGGTCCTGCACTTGGGGTCAGGGCATTCCCAAGCACAAACACAGGCCAGGAGAAAAATGGATTGAGAGCAGCCCTGAGGAGGATTTGGGGGTGTTGGTGGGTGAGAAGCTCAACATGTGCCAGCAATGTGCTTTGGCAGCCCAGAAACCAAACATGTCCTGGGCTGCACCCAGTGCCCCTTGGGCAGCAGGGCAAGGGAGGGGACTGTCCCTCTCTACGCTGCCCTTGTTAGACCCCACCTGAGGTCCTGCATCCAGCTCTGAGCCCCCAACAAAAAAGATGTTGACTTGTCCAGAGGAGGCCACAAAGTTGATCAGGGGCTGGAGCATCTCTGCTGTGGAGACAAACTGAGCTGGGGCTGTTCATCTTGGAGAAACATGATTTCCCCTGGCTCTGGGGAGACCTTATAGGAGTTTGTAGTACCTAAAGGGGATTCAGGAGAGCTGAAGAGGGACTTTGGGCAAGGGCATGCAGTGATAAGACAAGGAGGAGTGGCTTCAAAGTGAAAGAGTTGGTTTAGATTAGATATTAGGAAGAAGTTCTTTCCTATGCAGGTGGTGAGGCACTGGAACAGGCTGCCCACAGAAGCTGTGGATGCTCTATCCCTGGAAGTGTTCATGGCCAGGTTGGAAGGGCCTTTGAGCAACAGACAGGCAAAGAACCAAATGCTTAAAAAGTTAATAATGAAGAAGGAAATATTTGTAGATGAGTAGTTAATTAATTAGTTGTTTGATTTTGGGAAACAGCTAGGTTTTGGCCAGTTGTGCCCCAAATCTATGAAAAATACGGTGTAAAGTGACTGAGAATGAGAGAAGAAAGAAAAAAGTTACGCTAAATGTTTCTTTTTGATCTGCTTGTCTTTTTTTATTATTAGCACTGATCTCTGATTACAAATAAATGTAGCTAATCATGACTAGATTATTTAAGACTTCACTTGGTCAACACAATTCATGTGGTTGTAATTAGGGCACAACTTGGGTGTTATACTCTTCCTGAAATAAGAGATATGGGGGTAAAAAGCTCAAAGGAGTTAATGACAACATTGCCTGAACAACAGCATATTTATTTCATTATTTCTTTTACCTGATTGATTAAATGATCTGTCCCTTTCTCTGCAGTCAGAAAATTCAGCATCACTGAGTGAATGTTTGCATAACCATGAAGTTAGTAATAATTAGCAGAGAGGAATGGGAGTTTATTTTAAGGTGCAGTGTTCAAAACAGCAGCACCATTCTTGTCAAAGAGATGAACTGATGTTATTGTTACTCTGCAGTGCAATTAATTTACCTGTTTATCAACCAGTTTTCTACATTTCACCTCATTATTTGTCTCACTTTCTCATTGCAATATTTATTTATAAATTCTGTGTGAAATGTAAAATAATTTTTCATCCCTCTAATAAAAGTTGATAAAAGTTGCTATGTAATGCAGATATCATCCTCAGCATAGGACAAAAATGGGCATTTTGCAGTTTTAGCATTTTGTTTCAGTACTGAGATGTCCTTTTTCTACTACATAAAGGGGAACTTAATTAAAATCTTGGCTGCAAATAGAATTTCTCAGATCACTTATCTGACCTCTCTGCCTTCTCTTAAAGAAAGTGGTTTTGTTCTGTCGGTTTTTTCACTAGTGCTGATGGTGTAGCCTCTGGGATCCAGAGGAATTCACGTTACTAAAACCTTTGAGGTTTATTTTGGGTTTCTGTTTAAACAAGTCTTTTACATGTTTATTTGCACTTTGTGGGGGGGTGGGGAGGGTGGGTGGGATGGTAGTGTGTGATTTTGTTTGTTTGTTTAGGGGTTTGTTTGGGGAGTTTTTGCACTGTAGTAATCCTTTGCACTTTTAATGTAGGAAAAATACTGAAGGGGGCATATCACCAGCCGGAATTTTATATAGAATATAAACTGCTCATCTAAGAACATTCACAGGAATTTTCACCTGCTGTTCTCACACTGTTCAGTTCACACAGGATCAGATGCTAGGGTTTAGTGAACTGCTGCAGGATCTGGAAGAACACAGGCAACATCTGTGCACCCAGCATGAGGATACAGTCATTGATTTGTAGGAATACTTTGGTGAAAGTTCAGCCCCGTAGATGTAGATCTCCAGGATGATGGAGAAGAAATCCAGACCTTTCAGAACAGCTGAATCACTGGGAAGTTTGTAGCAACATTTTTTTGTTCCAGGAAGTGTTGCTGAGTTATAGAATCATAGAATGGGTTGAGTTGGAAGGGATCTTTAGTAGTTTGTCATGGCCTGATATTACACCTCTCTCCCTTCAAGTTTGTTTTAAAGCCTGTCAATCAGCCCTGATAGCCCATGAGCAAAGACCCTCTTGCCCATGTGAGAAATGTGAATCCCATCTGACACAAACATGTCTGGGGTTGTGCTAATCATCTCATTACTAAAAAAACCCAAATTCTGGCTGTGACCCCAGCCATGGAGCCAGCTATTGATAGACTGGGTCTGACCCTGCAGGGATGTGGGATAAAATGACCTGTGCTCCACATTTCCTGATCAGCCATTCCAAGGTGCTCAAATCTCTTTTGATCACCCTTGGACTGAACACTGTGACTTCATCACCTCCAACATGGAAGAGCAATAAAAGTAGTAGCAGTCCAAGGGCTGTACCAGGCTGGGAAATTTCCTGCTTATGCCATTAACTTGGGCCCCAGGGAGGGAAGAGGCTTCCTTAGGAGAAGGGTCTGTCTAGCATTTTGGACCTTCTGTTGCCTTCAGAAGGGAGTCACACACAGCTATAGACAGGAATTAAAAAAGAAACTCATTTTCATGTAATTGCTTGAGCTTTGCTTCTGGGTGTTTCCTGCTAAGCTCAGTAAAGGAAGAATGTCTGCAAAAGGAGTTGGAGTAGTTGCAGGTTGGTTTAATAAAAAATCTGGAGTACTTGGCCACCATCAGCAAGATCCAGTCTGAAGCAAGTGCACAGTTAACAAAAGTCAGTCTGACCATAACAGTTTTTACATTAAAAAATCAAGTGAAATTATATAGAACACTGTCAAATAATTATTTAAGGTAATACCTGACCTAGATAGATGGTCCATATTGCTGACCTTGCTAGAGTAAGGAGTTAATACAGCCTAACACCTAGTCCTAGTCTATGATTACATCATTTGTGTGCTGGAGAGCGTGAGGCAGCGTGTAAAGGATAAGGAGGCAGGTGCTCAGAGGCTGGCTGCTGTCATGCCCCTTCCCAAGCCCATGGAGGTGGGTGGCTATCTGCCCTCGTGTCCCACAGTGCTGGAGATCCCAATGCGATGCCGTGTCCCTCTCTTGGCTCTTCGGAATCCGCTCCGCAGGGCTCCTTCCTCCTCGCTGCTCTCCTCGGAGCTGGAACCCCCTGTGCCTGTTTCTGTGCCTGCTGGAGGCCTTTCAGCAGGGTCCCCTGGGCAGGAGACCTTCTCCTCCTGGCACTCGTGCCTGTGGGGAAGCTTCAGGCTCTCGTTGAAGAAGGCAGAAGCCATGCACTCGGCCGCGGCCTTGTCACAGGCACAGAGGAGCTTCTCACACGTGCTCCATCCAACGCCTGAAAGAGAAGTTTCACAATTAATGTTTGAAAGCTGTTAAACTTACTTAATGTATAATTTGCCATGGGCAGATGGGCTTTTGAAAATAAAATTTTCAAATCTGCCATGAATTTTTGTCTCCAAAGTCACCATTAATTACCTAAACAAAAGCCTGACAGCAAGGTGCTGGGCAGTGGAAATTTCTATTGGCTTTAGTTGAATTTGTGAATCTAAATACACAAATAGCTGACTTCTGTCCGCAATTATGAAGTGTCCAAATGAAATTTTCTCAGCCTGACCTGGTCACATGCGCAGCAGTGTAATAACCTTTTTCTCAACTAGGGAAAAAGTTCAAGTTTATAGTAAATATTGCTATTTTTTTGTAGGCTAAATATTTCTGTCTCTGTACTCAGCTCTAGCAGCTCTGTCATAGTGTCATTCAGTCTATCATGTTGATACACTGTCATTTCCTCTCACACAAGCTTACATTTTGGAGTATGATCCAAACATACAACTTCAGATCTCAAATTTCTTTCTGCATGACATCCAAGTTTCTTAACTTGCTCCATACAGCAGTGATGAGAGAAGCAGCATCTAAAATAAACAGTAGAAGTAAATGGAAAATACTTAATCTTCCTGAACCCCAGAATGCTCATAATTATTTGTCTCTTTATTTTCAATGCCCATTAAAACTAAAAATTTTAGTTTTCATACCCTGGAATTTTTTTCTGTGAAGAACAGAAAACAACCCAAGCTGTTCCTACTTTCTTCCTACACTTGTTCCTACTTTCCTGATTACTTTCGTATCATGCGTTTAACAGGAGTGTGTTTTAAGACACAAAATTACAATTGTAACTGTGACCTAATCTGCCATGAGAAGTGTCTTCCAGTGTTCAAATCTTGGCTGGAAATCTGAAAACTGCATCATGATACCCACATCTTGCCATCATCTAATCCAATTTTTCCTGTGTGGGCTGTCTTGTTTGTGTGTGAGTGCAGGAAAAGAGGTGCGTGCTCTGCTTAGACCTGATGTGCCCCACCTGTTATGAACTTCCACAAAGGAAGAGATTTTTAATCTCTTAAATTAGAGCTGTAAATACAATGCTCCCAGAGGTGCTTTTATTTGTGGAATTCTCTGCATTGTCCCTTATCATCAGCCATGCTGGCTCTTGGCCACAGCTCTGACAGAACTTTGCTCCAGCTCTGCTGCCTTCTGAAGGACAGTGGGACCTGGGTGGATATCAGTTCTCTTCATAAGTCACCTTCCAAGCCACCTCTTAACCAAGTTTTACTGTGACCCTTATCCATTTGATTAACTCCTGCTCTGCTTACCTCCTATTGTTCTCCTTTCTTACTTTAATTAAGTCCTCTCCAAAGCATTGATGCAACAATAGAAAGTGGTTTAGTCACATTAGACTATTTAGTGTTTTATTTATTTAAGTGGATTTTTTTTCCACAAACTGTGACTTGACTACTGCTACATAGCTATCCAATGCCCAAAAAATTATGTACTGATCTTCCTTGATCCCTGGGCACCACAGTAGCACTCACAGTTAATGACACATACAGAGGAGCCCACACCTGTCCAGTGCATCGGTGGGATCACCTCTTCCCTCTTGGCCACAGTAGCAGCCATAAGATTCAAATTCCTCTGGGCATCTCCCAGTCAAACAGAACAGCATTTCTCCAAGCTGGGGCAGCTCCCTCTTCACTCTTCCACGTCCTGTCTCTTGCAGAAAGGTCAATCGCTCACACACTGCAAAGCAAAGTTGTTATTTGACACATCATGTTCTGACTGGTTGAGGGCTCTCTTGTGAAGACAGAAGTGTTTCCAGAGCTATCAGAAACTTTGAAGGACAACATTTTACCACCTCTAAATTATTGCTTCAGTCCATGAATTATGGCTCTTAGAATACTGCTGACTGAGGAAGACAGCAAAAGGGCAAGGCAATATTTAAAGGGGAGAGAGATCCCTATGAAGATAGAGCATACAAGTCAAACTGGACTGAAATGAGAACACTTAGCAGTCCTTTGTAATCTTTCATAAGTAAATTTTTCTTTTGGAATATTTGAACTCAGCTTAGTATTCAGTGGTTTCTGTCTTGGTAATTCAGAAAATACAGTTCTAACCTCTTGTTCTTCCAGTGACAGCTGGGCAATGACCATGTTTTGCTGAAGGAAATAATTTTTATTTTTTTTTTTTTTTCCTCATTTGAAACAGTCCAATTTCAGCTGTGGTGCCCCAAGACCAAATGCAGGAGTGATCTGTTGTAATGGCTATTTTACTGCTGATGTTTTGGCATCACCAAATCCCAACCCTAATGTCTCTGTGCCTCCCTCTCCTCAGGAAGAACTGATATTGTGAGAATTATTAATAAGATTTGAAAGAACACAGGGTTCCATATCAGGAAAAAGACATCTGGGACTTCGCTGGGGAAAGGATGGAAGGGCTGAATGGAAGGAGAAGGAGGGAGGGAAGGAGGAAGGGAGGGCTTCTGTTCCCTCTGCATCCTCCTTTTTCCCATGAGTAATTCCATCTTCCCCTCTGCAGCTCTAGACTGTTTCCCTGCTCCTGAGAGAGTCAATCCTGGGTTACTGTCTCCAACAGGAAGTTCTGCCCATGTGCCTTCTTGGGTCTTGACTCATCCATGTTAATTTACAGAATAAACCACAGGTTCAGGGAATTGATCTCTGCTCTCTAAAAGCTGGTATTTTAAAATCAAATTTTCCAGTTTGGTGAAAGGTGGGGTAGATTCTTCTGCTCTTTTCCTGTTCCAGGGTTACTTCTCTCCATTGGGAAGCCTAAAAAGATGGATGGGACAGTCCTGAGTGTGGACTTACAGCTGTGACAGGTCTGAAAGCTCTTAGGATCACTGGGATCTCTGAGCAGGAATTGGAACAGAATCAGAAATGATGAGAAAAAGTCTGACTAGCAAGACTGTGGCAAAAGTTCAGAATGAAAAGCAGGAAAGTTCCTATTATTGCTGCTGCTACTGCTTATAAAACAAAGTAACTTAAAATTGTGATTAAATTACTTAAAACAAACAAAAGCAGGGAGAAACAGTTCCTGAGCTCATTATAGATATTGTACTATATGAAAAATGTACTTACAAGCTAATAATAAGTAGTTTTTATAAGTGTTTCTGACAGCATATTGGCAGAAGAGTGATGGAAGCTTTGCAGATGTCTCCACCTCCTGTTCTTCTGTATACCAATACATGTGTGCTTATCTAACATTTAAAATAATTATAATCTTTATATATAATGCATACCTGCTTTTAATAGAGAAGTTGCTGAATATTTCATCAGATGTAATGGGGAAAAAACCCTTTATTTACCTTTTCCTTCAGGTCCTCTCTCAGACAGTCCCAGGTCCAGAGCTATTCCAGAGGCAGCTGTGCTCAGGCCACCCCTGGCAGAGCTTGTTTCTAGAGAAGACAAAGGCATAGATTAGACTTGTGAAGTCAGAATGAACTCTTCCTTCAGGAGTGTGTCCAAAATTGAATATTCTAAACTATTATCAACTGCAGTCTTCTAAAATTTGTTAATTCTTAGTGGGAGGCTGTTTATTAATGGTTAGTTCAGTTTTCCTGGTCAGGTGTCAATGAGCTGCCCTTTCTAGTCAGTGTTATACATCCTCTATTGTATGTAGCCTACAAATTTAAATAACCAATTAGTTTCATTCCACATATCCATGAAAAATGCTGACTGCTCAGATAGCTGTGAACAGGAATAGGGGAGTCCTCTAAATTAGAAAATATGTAATTCATTTTTCACTTGCCTTTTCCTTTTGTCCTTGCAGGTGTGCCTGCATGACTCTTGCTGGTGGGAACAATTTTGACTTGCATTGAGTTACTATCTCCTGGGAATGAGGCTGGGGATGTGGTTATCTCTTCCACTGAGACCAAAGCTTCCATAAATCCATCTGCTTCTGAATAAACAGAAAAAAGAAAGCAGAAGAAGAAATAGAAAATAAACAGCATGATTTTAATTTTAGATAGCTGGTGAGAGCAATATCCTCAGGCAGAATGAGTGTGAATTGTTGGTCATAGAGAAGGAATATCTAAGAGGAAAATAGGAAAAGCAGAGTATCCACACTGGTCATTTATTCACACCTCTTGTCTTTCAGAAGAAAGGACTGTGGTTAAATATGATCAGTTTAACTGCTGATTGGGTTTTTTTTTAATTCTCTATCTACTGAGACAAAGAGCTTTGCCAGGTGCTGAAAATCATTTTGTTTGCTGCTAAGTCAGCTGTACTGAGAGATAAAGTACAGGTGAGATGTCATTTGCTGAGTAAATTGCTTTAAAAAGTGTCTGTTCACCTGAAGTTTCTAAAACTGAGAGTAACATCAGTGAAAGGAGGAAATTATTTGACTGATGCAGAGCTGGGTAACTGAAGGGTTTGCTTGCTTGTAACCACAAGGAAATAGTGAGGGGAAAATAAGTTGACAAATAATTGTTTTCATGAGTTTCTTTATCCTAACAATTAAATTGGTATTTGTTTTTAGATTATCTGACACTCTATTGTTGATCAGGAATGTTTTGGTGAATTTGGAAGTACTTAAAATATTTTTTTCTTATTTTCTAAACTTTTTTTCATATAAACTAATTTGTAAATGAAAATACTTATCAAATGGTTTCATTTTTTCTATATGTCAGTGTGAACAATGTGGCATTTCACAAAATAAATACTTTGAAAATTGTAATGGGAATTTATTTTCATACTTTTAAAGCTTCCCTTTTGAATTTGGCTGAATTTCTTAATTAGTCTAAACTCAAATTCATTAAACTTGTCCCTCTGATGTTCTGGTTTTAGTATGTATTGAAAATAACCTGTCACAGGATAAGAGAATAGTTTAAAAGAAATAAAAGTACTGCTAAGAACACAGCAAAGCCCATGAAGGGTGGCAGAAAGGGATCAATAGTCACACACTGGTTTTATTAAGGTGCATGTTTTATGCCACTTTGTTTGGCAGTGGAATGTTGACATGAAAGTGATTTCTGCTGGATGTAGAAAACTAAACCAGAGTGTGAGAAATCCTACACTTAGCTAAGAAGAGATATCACAAATAATCTCTTGGGAGCCATGCAGACCTGCAGCACAATACACTGATTTTTCTGATACATTCAAGTTAATGTGGGAGAGAATTTAGTGATTTTGACCAGTGCTTAGTACAGCAATGCCGAGTTCATTGGGGTGGGAGGCAGAGATATTGTTCAGACAGTGTAATTAGTCAAAAAATGACTGCTTTCTACTCTCCATATGCAGTTTTCTCTGACATTTTTCTGGTGGATTTCAGTCTGCCTGGATAATCCCTTCTACACAAAAGGGGGCACAGGAAGCTTCCCGATCTACCAAGGTGCTCCATTTTCAGCTGTACCCACTGGTGAGGCTGTGCCCAAAGTACAGACACCTGTGAAAGCTGGAACAGCTTTTAGACTGAGAGAGAGTTACCTGAAATTATCTATAATAAAGGAGGAGGCAAAATCAAAATGAACGCTTCTGGCAGCAGATGCTGTGACTGTAATTTACAGAAACAGCCATGATATCATAAAACCTCATGTGAAGAGGCTTTCAGAAATACTTGGATGAGGAGTGCAAATGAGTGGCTGGAGGCAAGGAACAGCTAATGCTTCTCAGCCAGGTTTTATTGTTTGTGTATCTGCTACCTGACCCTGATCTAAATTTGATTCTCCCGCAGCCCTGTTGCTGCCATGCACAGATTTCTAACTGTGATGTTTTTAGATGAAGAATCGCTGTGTCAGTCAAAGAAAGAGGATCACTGTCACTGACCTTTAATCGAGAGGATGGGGGGAGCAGGAGCTGTGCCTCTGTGGTTCCTTGAGGTAACTGTACAAAAAACAGAGGCATCGTGGTAGTGACCTGCCAGCTGAATTTCTGCCATGCATTTCTGAGATGACTTAAAGCATTATAAAGCTTAACCAAACAGCCTGGATTTATAAAGGTGGCAATTAGGAGAAGCAAAGTGTTTTGCTAAAGGATGTGCAAGTCAGAAGAAGAAATATTATCCTGAAATCCTGTGCTGAAGATTTTTGACTGTGACACCACAGAGCTTCATAAATGAAAATCTATCTTCACCTGGAGTCAAGAGTGCCAAATTTGTAAACAAAAGTTTAATGACTCTTACCTCTGGCTTTAGAAGTTGCCAAGACTGTGTCACGAGGCTCAAAAGAAACAACTGTTGAAAATAAAAAATATAAACTCAGGAAACACATTGCCAGCACAGTTATGATCAGTCAGGTTGCTGAGAAGAGTTTTTACTGAAAACAACAAGATCCAGACATATCATGGGTTGATATTTGCCTGTTTTTCTCAGTGGTATGTTAATGATTATAGACAAAGTGATACTGATAAATTAATCTTATTGCATAAAAATAACGAACATAGCACTGACACAGGATTCTATGATTCTGTAAAAGAAGCAGCATAAATATGGCTGAATTGGGAAATTCAATATTAAGCCCATTTGACAGGCAAATAGACTAAAAAGGAGCTGGTCTGGCATCCCAGTGTTGTGCACAGAAGGATGCTGCATTCCTTGGGAACACCTTGTGTTTGCTTGCACTAAAAGTCAGGTATGGATGGGCAGCCATAAGTCCAAATAGCTCCCCAGCCTCTAATTTATTTCTTTACCTGATAAAATGATTTTCATTTGTCAGTTGCCTTTTGATAAATTATAAACATAGCTATCAAATTATCTAAAAAACAATCTCCACGTTATTTTCTGTGTTAGGACGTTGTCATGTGAAGAATTCCTTTGCCTTGAATGAGTTTTGCAGTGATATTTAGCTTTGGTTTAATGCAGCTTCCACAGTTGTCAATGTTGAAGCTTCTTTGGGCTTAAACAGGGAGACAACTGGTTAAATAGTAAGTGGTTCTCCAAATGCTTCCTTCAAAGACTGATTAGAAATCTTATCTGTGCTGTTTTCAGCTTTCTAAAATTCCTGATACAGGTTTTATTCCTTGGTAATACTTGGAGCCTTTGTGATGGACTGTGCCTCATTAGGGAGCAGGAGCAGTTTTTTCAGGAAGTAGAAGATTGCTACAGAAGTGCAAATACAGGTGCTGTCATTGTTTCAGGAGTTCTGTTTTCTATCACAGAGTGTCCCAGAAGCAGATAGAAAAACATGAACCAACACTGGAGCTGCTGCTAGGCGAGAATGAAAAATATGGTAAAAAACTACTTTGATAATACAGGAGAGAAGAAACAGGCAATACTTATATTCAGCATAAAGCCTTTTCAGGTACCTACACAAAATAGCATGTGCTGCTATTTAAAAAAAATAAAAACAAATAAACCCACAAACCTTTAAGTATCAGAAACATTGTTTTTTAAAAAGAAAAAAAAAAAATCCATGTGGTTTTCATTATTCCAGATTCACACTTAGGGCAATGGCACACACAGAGGAGCACACTAAAGCTTGAAATCAGGTTCTTAGGTTCTCAGAAAAAATCCAGCTCTCCATGTCTCCCATGCAAGCTGGTCTAGTGGAGTGTCCCTGCCCACAGCACGGGGTTTGGAATGAGATGATCTTTAAGACCCCTTCCAACACAACTCTGTGATTTTCTGGGTTAAGCCATGGCCTGGCTGCACATACCCAGTGCATGGTGCTTGTGTGCTTGGCAGATATCGGGTCCATGAACAGAGTCACAGAATCCTCAAGACAGGAAAGAGACCTTCAGATCACCCAGTCCAACCATCAGCCCAGCACTGCCCCCGTAACCCCTAAACCATTAAACACATCACCCAGCACCTCTTAAACACCTCCAGGGCTGGTGACCACCTCCCTGAGCAGCCCATTCCAATGTCTCAGCACCTGAACAGTGAAAAAATTCTTTCTAATATCTAATCTGAATCTCCCCTGTCTCCTCTTAAGGACATTTCCTCTGATTGTTTCCCTGCAGGTATGGTAAAGAAGACTGACCCCCACCTCACTACACCTCCTGTCAGGTGGCTGCAGAGAGCAGTGAGGTCCCTCTGAGCCTGCTCTTCTCGAGGCCAAACAAACCCATCTGCCTCAGCCACTCCTGATAAGAAATGTTCTCTAGTCCTCTCATGAGACTTGCTGCCCTTCTCTGGACACACTCCAGCACCTCAATGTCCTTTATTAAAATGAGGGACCTAGAAATGAGCACAGCACTCAAAGTGCAGCCTCATGATGCTGAGGAGTGGTTACTGCCCTGGTCCTGCTGGTCAAACTATTGCTGGCATAGGCCAAGGTGCCATTGGCCTTCTGGGCCACCTGGGCATACACTGGCTCCTATTGAGGCAACTGTGGACCAGCACTCAGTCCATTTTCCAAAAAGCTCTGACGCCACTCCTCCCTTAAGAGCAGTGTGGCTTTCCTTGTGATGGAGCCACAAACAAGAGTGCAGCAGCTAAACTGGGTAACAGTCCAAGACTGGTCTTCCTCTCTACTTCATATCTTGGCCCTCTCTTGCAAGGTGTCCCCTCCCAGAGCCACGAAGGGCTTTGGGTTCTTCTGTCCCTGGCCTCTCGTGTTGCAGTGATCACCACGCAGGCAAGAGCAGAACTGATTCTCACACTGCAGCAGTGAGGTTTTGTGAGTATCCACTCCTCATAAGACAGACATTGATTGTAGCAAAAGACTGTCATGAGAACTTCTGGGTCTTGTGGTTTAGAGACTCGCCAAGGAGACTCCGGGGTGAGGAGGTTTCAGCCTGGATCTCTTCATGACACGTAAATAAACCACCAAAGTGGTGCCTCATTGGCACAGACCATGCTCAGCATTTCCTCGTGCTGCTGCTTGATCTTAATTAATTCAATATTTTTTAAAGACAAGAAATATGCAATTGTCTGTGGGTCCAGTGGTTGGCACAGAGGGCATCTCTGCCAAGCAGCTCACCTGCTCCAACCGGTGTTCCCAGGGAAAAAAGGCTGTTTTGATGAAAACAGGTTTTGTTGCAGTGTTCATTCTCAGCCCTTGGGAAACTTACTATGAACACTGGTTAAACACATTCGATGCACAAATTGATAAATTGCACCTTCCCATTCAGTCTTGAATCCACCACCAAAACACTACATCTACTTTTACATCAGTCCTTTTAGAAGGGCAGAAAGGAAGCAAACATCTATTCTCTCAGCTTTTGGAAGCTGAAAGCAGGGCTTTTTTCTCTCTAAGATGCAAACCTTCTTCCACAGATGCAGTCACAACCCGTGTTTCATCAGTCCCTTGGTGAACCACCTCTGCAAAAAAAAAAAAAAACTCCAGAAACTCATGGCTTAGTGTGCTCCTTAGACTGCATCATGGCATAATATAAGAGTCATCAGAAGGGAATTTATTTCTAAATATTATTATAATTACAGTAGCAGTATTAAAATATTGCTTTGGTATTTACACCTTGCTGATACGAAATTCTACTGAAATCTAATCAGGCACCTAAAATTAGAAGAGGCATCTAGTGAACTAAAATTGAATCTGTCTTTATCAGCAGTGATAAAATCAACATGATTTTCCTGTTAGCACCAAACAATTTCCCCTTTTATTTTTAGTGTGTTTGGTCTACCATACTGTATATTACCACCATCTGATCTCAGTGATTAAAGATTACCATCTTTAAAAAAACCAACTACCTGGCTTTGATGCAAACCTTCCTGGGGCATTTTCTTCTCTCTTGATGCACTCAGGAGGGTATGCACACATCCAGGCTGTGATACAGGTGTGTGTCTGTCTGTCCTTAGCACTGGAGGATGTGACTGTGAGCCAAAGTGCTGGAAAAGCTAATGCTGCTTTTTCACATCTCCCTCAGCTTGGGAGCCCAGAGGTCCTGTCTCTGCCATGCTCTGATTGCAATCCATATGAAGTTTTTAATCCAGGCCTGCTCCCACGGGGCAGGCATTTGGTCTTGTGAGGCTGTAATTTCAGCTACAGAGCACAGGTCAGTGTGGGACCATGGGAATAAACATCCCCTCCATCCTTAGCAGGCATTTTTTCCTTACAGAATAGAAACCAAGTAACTGAACAGAGTAAGCCTCTTTTTGCTTTTCCAGTCAGTTTTTGAATGGTTTAAGGGAAGATTTGGGTTAGCAACATTTTCAGCATTTCCTGCTAGTGACCTCATCACAAGTATCATTCATTCATTCCAGGTGGCAGACGCTCCCTGAAGAAAAAAAATTCTTCACATCTAACTGGAATTTCCCTGTTGCAGTTGTGTTCCTTGCCTCTTGTCCTGTCCCTGTGCACCTCCAGGAAGTGTCTTGTTTCATCTTCTCTCCACAGCCCACTCAGAACTGAGAACAGCAGAAAGATCTCCCCCAAGCCTTCTCCTCTTTCCATATGGGCTCCAGCTCCCTTCCCCATCTCAGAAGCCTCTCCTGGCCCTGCTCCAGGATAGCAATCAGTCTGCCACCACCTTCTCCCCTGGTATTCACCCAAATAGCAATAAATGTACAGGACACGTGAAACACAGACCAGATTTGTGTCAGGAAGGCACCCAGCTCCTGCTTCATTCTTGGGTTACATTTGATGCCAGCAGAAAATCTAGCAGGAGGGGACAGTCGATCAGATCCCTATTATTTATTACCTGTAACTGGAGATGGGCAGGAAGAGACATCCAGCCCATTCAAGGAGGAGTTAATCTCTGCATTCACAAAACATTCAATGGCATCTTTGTCACAGGTGCAGAGGAACTGTTCACAGGGATCCACAGACTCTGGAAATAAAACAAAAATCCAGACAAGGCGCTATTGAAAAACCTTTTCCACCTTCTTCTTTTTCCTCCCTTTAAGGTTTGTGTCTGTATTTTGTCAGTGCAAACTTATTTATACTGTATTTCCCATACAAAGCATGGTTAAGTTTCATAGTCCAGCTCTTGTTTTAAACACCAGCTGATGCAGCCTGGCATGGCTGTCAATAAGTTATTGCCTCATTTGTTGTGTCTGCAGAGTATTGAGGACTACAGAGCAATGCTCTAGTTTTTCCATGGAAACCTTAATCCAGCTGATACTGCATTTAACATTTCACAGACTTCATTAAATATTCCTCCTAACTCCAAGAAGTCACAGTCCACAATCCAGGCCTTCCATGTGAAGTGTGATTTGCTCCTTTTAAAGAATCAGAGAACCCTGGAACAGCTTGGATTCAAAGGTGTGTTAAACCTCATGTCATTCCACTCCCTGCCATGGACAGGGACACCTTCCACTAGAACAGGTTGATCAAAGGCCCATCCAGCCTGGCCTTGAACACTTCCAGGGATAAGGCATCTACAAGTTCTCTGGGAAGCCTGTACCACCAGGTACAGGTGCTCCACCACCCTCAAAGTTAAAAATTTCTTCCTAACATAAAGGATATTAAACCGTTTCCCAGGAAATACTATTTTCCCTCTTCTTAATTTCTTCTTTCAATACTATATTTACTATATTAAACTTGTCAGAGTTTAAAAACACATTGACTTTCCATAGCTGTCACACTTCTATTTCGTATTTGTGATGGAGACAATACAGAAAGAGCTTAAAAAGCATTGTTAATGTTTAAATGCACTTGGACCATTAGAGATTGGCCTAAATAGCAAAAATGGTTTTAATTTGAAACAAGAAATGGAACTTGGGTCAGATTGTTGCATAAATAGGATGTAAGGGTATTAGTCTGGGAATGATGTTCTTCTTTGCTGGTATCCTCAAACCATGTTCTTTACATATAGTCTTTTCTGAGAGCCAATACTTGATGAAAAATTATATTACATGTTATTAGGCATTAAAGAACCCCACTGCATTCCTGTCAGGTCTGTACCAGCATTGCACAGAATAGTTCCTGTTACAACACACATTCTCTGCCTCAGCTGTAGCGGAGGAGTGTGTGTGACCCTCTGAACAAAGAATCTGATCCCTCAATGTGCAGAAAAATCAGGCCTTGATGCCTCAGAAGGAGATTGTTTTTCAGGTCTCTCCTCAGCATCTGCTGCATTTCTGATGTGTGGAGACATCTCAAGCAATGTTTAGTGGTCCTGCAAAGTAAGGGAAACCCCAGGAAGAGGCTGCCTGTTGGAGGAACCCTGGGAAGTGAAGGTGGTTTCTGATTAATTTGCCTATGACTTTTGGTAGGTAGACCAGAATGAACTTCTGGCTGCAGTGAAGCTCCAGTTTTAAGCTTTTTTGACAGGTCAATCTCACCACAGGTCAAGTTTTTAGTAGAGCAGCTGAAATCTGCAGAAATCTTGGATGGGTCCCATGTGCACTCCATCTCCAGCGCTTCCTCGTAGCATTTGCGGTGCTGAAAACAGCATCTTTAAAAGGAAAGAGCAGAGAAGTCAAACCATTTCATTTCAGTTCATGGTCAGACTGCAGTGATGACATGTGGCTCTTATGCAGAACCACAAGAGATGCCAAAGGAGAAAAGGGGGTCCATGTGTGATCCCCAGACAAAAGAAAGGCCGAGTGCTGCCTTTCCCGAAGTCAGAGTGCTGGGATAACCATATGTGCATGCCAAGCTGAGTTCTGGGACCAGGTCTGCCCACTGTGGATGACCAAACATTTCTGTCCTGCTGTGGTACCCTTGCAAGGACTTTACAGGCATTTTAAATAAAAAATCCACTGCCAGTGCACAAATACTTCCCCTCAGCACTGTCAGATCACTGACAAGCAAAGCCCCACAAGTCAGCTCCAGACATCTTGGAGCTAGTCCTGTCCCAACCTTTCTCACTGCAGATTTGGAGAACTACACTGACTGAACCTGGCACTCATGGAGGGTTAATGGCTCTGCAATGTGAATTCCTGGGTCTGTGGGGACTATATAAATACATACAGTTTTCTCCTCTATTTCTTGTACTTGTATGTAACAATCACAATTGAAATGCACCATTTAGCCATGGGAAAGGGCCATGAAATATTTTTCTCTCACTAGAGTAAACCAGTTTTCTCCTGCCACTATACAACACAAACAGTCAGAAACCTTGTGTTTTCCTGCACCACTGCTGTCCTGCCAATCTCAAATTGCTTACAGGGCCACTTAAGTTTTGAATAGAAATAAAAAGTCAATTAAACCAACAAGCTCTTTGTACACAACATCTCTGTGCACTGACATCAGCTTTAAATGAAACGCCAGTAAAAGAGTCATTATTTATCCAGGTAAAATTGTTACATATATTAAAGGGTATTGCTGTTAGATTCAGATTGAAATACCCTCATTTCAGAGAAATGGACTCAAAACACTTATTGAGTTGTAATTAGCCTGGGCAATGCTGAAGGCAAGGACAACATGAACATCCAAACCCAGTATCTGCTGCCAGGAAGGCTGGCAGCTGCTCCTTGCCAGGCTCCCTTCTAGGGAGCCCATTTAGGCTACACATACACTTTTTCATCTCCTATATTTAGAAATAATTTCACATTGAATCACTGACTGTATTAATAAATAATGATCACAATATTTCATTTGTCTTCATTAGCAGAGAAGGAGTGCAAGGAATGTATCTAAAAAACTTGAGGGCAAATAGCATTCAGCAGAAAGGCCCGATGGCTCCTTTGCACCACAAATTCTACTGTGCCTTTTTCCAGAGATGAGGCAGAAATCTCTATCAGGAACAGGTTTTCAACACATAACTGGTGATGTCTCAACACTCTCCTGACTCTACCTCAGGTCTAGTGAGGTGTAAGCATCTAAAAGCTCCTCTAACTGCATAAGAAATCTAACAAAAAAACCTCTCTGGTTTGTTTAGAGATTCATAATTGCATCAACATTTGCTGCAACAGTTAATCCAAAAATTTGCTTCGTTTCCCTTTGCAAGCAGGATATTGTAAGATATGATTTGTCTTCTGAGCCTGCCTCTCTTTCACAAGGTCTGTGGAAATAAACTTGGCTCCTAATTTAGATAAGACAATCAGCTACTCTGGAAAATGGGAAAAGGTTGGTCTTAAAGGCATTAGTACTTTCCAATGCCTTAAAAACCTGCTGTGAGGCATTGAGCCCTTTTCTGTGGAACAGAAATAGCACAGACAAGCCCCAAGGTTTGCAAAACTAGTTTCTAAGAAATAAAATCAGTGAAAAAAATTGCAACACTGTGGGAACTGTCTCTGGGAAAGACACACAAGCCACTGGTTTGGAGGCTCCCTTGAACCAAAAGCACATCTCTGTCAGTGGCAAAGCAATAATCAATCTCTGTTTGCTGCACATGGCAGTAGGAATTCTGTGCTGATAAGGAAACCTCACCCCAGGGCTGCAAAACAATTTGTAAATACAAACTGGCTGTGTGGGTGATTCTCAGGACAAACCTGCTGATGGATGTTTCTGCAGTTTCTGGGTTTGTGCTGCTCTACATTAAAATGAAGCTGAGTGAAGCAAAAGCCCAGGTGCTCAGCTCTTGGGTATCAATCCATTAAACTGACTCGAGCTCCCATTTCAGGATGTCATCACAATTGTTCAGAAAACCTTTCACAGAGAAACTCCATGGCTTTTTTCCAGTAGCAGGGTCAGATCTCCATTTTCCCAGCCATCCCATGCTGCAGAGTGGATGGATTAATTTCCACCTCTCTATAGGCTTAGCCCTTTCTGAGTCGTTGCTGTCTTCACTCAGGGAATTAATACATTACATTGTTGGAAAACCCATTTTCTTCACAGACATAGATATATCTTGATTCTCTTTGAATTTCCTTTCACATCTCCTGCTGATATAATTGAACAAGTATTTGATTGTCCTGGTCTGAGATTACATTTTCTCTCACTAGAGCCGGATGATATGGGTCTTACCCCTAAATAAATCTATCTTTTTATTACTGTTTTTAAATTATTTATACAGGAGTTATGCTTTGGATAATCAGAGCATGAGGGTATTTATTGGCAGTCAGGGCAGAAAAGGACCTCTCATGGGTATGACTTACTCATCAGCTTCATCCACGGGGAACCCTTCCATCTCAAACCGGCAAGAGCAACCGTAGTCTTCAAAATCCCTGGGACAAAACCCAGTAACACACTTCATTTTGTTCACAAAGTTGAGAAGGGCAGGAAAGTTAGTGAAGATGGACTGTAACCAGGTGAAGTGAGAACCCAGGCAGTCTGGAAAGAGAACAGCCATAGAACACCTGGTAAGTGGAGGTGAGGCAGGGTTACACACGGATGACATTTGCAGGGCAGTGACACTGGGCAGTGCTTGACACTCAGCAGTGTTGTGATACTGTGGTCTTTGGGGAGATCTGCAAAAATCCCCATTTCATCTTAGTAAATATAAAGAACAAACCCCACAGGACTTCTATTCAGTGATCAAGTACAACTGGAACAGGTACGTACCAAAAAATAATGCAACGCTTTCCACATTTTGAAAGACTCCATTGAAGAGTGACACATTGTCTAAATGAAAAAATAAACAAACAAACCATGCTTACTTAAAAATAATAAAAAAAAAGAAAATAACTGTCCCCAGACTTCCCCTGGTCTCACTTCAGTTGTTAAAACATTTTGAGATGAGGTCCTAGCTATTTGCTCACAATTCCCTGTGATGCTTCTGGAGTACAAGGATTCCCAGAGCCATGCAATATTGCAGAAAGAAAAGCTTAAACCTTTCTTACTCAAGATTCTTTCAGGTGTGTTAAGCAGATCTGGCAGGAATGCTGGAGGCTCCAGTTCTTGGCCACCTACCTCAGCAAATAAATTTGAAAAGAAAAAAATTTAAAAGTAAAAAAAAAACAAAGAATACCCAACAAAATCCAAATCCCCAAAAGATCACAATAAAACAGCAGCATGTATTTCATTATGACACCCTGCAGGCATTCTGAATACCTTCCTACACCAGTAAGCTGATTTATCAAAGACATGAAGTACTTGCTCAGCTCCACACCCACCCTGGGAAGCCCAGAATTGTGCTGGTGAGGACTGGTGTGGACTGGTAATTCCATCCACTGCAGCTCAAAGCCCAGGCACTGTTAAACAGGTATTGCTGCTGAGGATGAGCTAACCCTTGTCTTCCTGTTCTCATCTGAGCAGTAGCCCTTACTGGGACTATCAGAAGAATTATATAATATAGGTTTGGGCCCACCTATGTCCCAAATACTCTGTAACCCTGTGCTATAATGTCAAGCAGGGTTATTTGAAGTGATTTGTTTTTCCTGGTCCATCTCGGCTATTGCCTTATTGCCTCATTGTCTCCCTATAACTTTATATTTTAAGTTAATTATCTTTGTTTTGAAGATGATGTGGTAGATTTGGAGTATTTTCAACAATTTCATTTTTTCTGTTGGCCAAGTCCCAGCTTAGAGTAAAATCTAATATTTGTTCTCTCATCCCATTTTTTAACCTGTTCTTTCCGTCTGCATGATTTCAGAAGACAGTGTATTTCTTCAGATTTATTTAACCTTAGTTTTTTTAAAAAACATGGTAAGTAAAGGGTATTTACTGTCTCAAGAAACTTGGATATTTAAAACTGAAAAAGCCCACAATATTAAATTCATGGCATAATTTATATTTCAGAATAACTGGTATTAGGAAAGCTGTCCTTTTTCTCCATAAAAATTCTGGGAAAGGGTTGACAGTCATCTTGCTCATCTGCTACATTTTCCTGCAATAAATATACATGTAAAAGAGTAAAGCAGAGTAGTGGTGTTTTTAGATAGGAGGCTTAACTATATGTTATAAGAAAGGATTAGGAAAAAATAAGAAATTTTTAATTTTGTTTTTAATTTTTTTAAGATCATATATAAGTGCTTTCTCAGATGTCCACAACTTTTGTGGTATGAACAAGATTTTAATGGTAACAGTTATATGCTCCCAGCAATTATTTTCTCAAGTTCAGTTGCAGAATATGGATACAGGACTGAGTGAGTCAGGAAGAGGTACTTCCTCTCGTGTTATTCTTTTTCCTGAAATTCTTGCTTTTAGATAAACAGTAATCCATCCAAAGCACCCTTCTCTGCATCAGGACTAAGGGGAGAAAATTGCTTTCCACAAACCAGAAAAAGTCTCCCAATAAAGGCTGGTCTTTTTACAGAACTGGAATAAATCTGTTGAAAGCTTCATAGCCACAAGGAATTCAGCTTCAGGCAAAATAATGGCCTGCCTTGCAAAAAAATCAGCACTGAATGCTATATTTGTACAAATGTTTGTTAAGGAAAAAGTAACACTTATTTTCTGGCTTAAAGCCTGCATTTCTTCTGCAATGACAAACATCACCAGGTTCTGTCAAGTGCAACTGGAGCAAGGTTTGACACACTGCATAACACCACAGCTCAAAGTGTTGATGAACAGCCATTAATCATTTGGTCCTTACAGCAAAATGTTTAGAAAACATGGAAATCCCATAGAGTTGAAATGCATCGGAGGAGAAAATTGACAAAAAGCATATTCCAGAGGTACTGAAAACTGTGATTGCTCCACTATCCTTCACCTGCAGTTAGTTCTGAGCAGACTGAGCTGTGTACACCCAATTAACACATATGCAATTAACAAATGTTTGAAGTTCCCCCGGAGAGGAATGTCTGCTCAGCAGTTTGGTAAATCATTGGCTCTTCTAATCCTCTCATTACAAAGTAAGCTCATTACAAAGAGAGCAAGTCAAGATCAATGAACCAATGTTTGCTAACAAGATTGCTTACTTTTTTAAATTGGGGGAGGAACAAGGGGAAAATACTTTCTGTAGTAATTATTCTCTTTTTCTCTTTTGGTATCATGTGTTTGGAACTATTGGCCCTATGTCATTCCTTGTAGAGGCAGTGAAAGATTTCACTACAAAAAATCAATCCTTTAAATCTCAGAAGACCCTGGGGTTTCCAACTTGTCTTACCTCTCTCTAAAACCTGTTAAGATTCAGTAAGTTTTGAGGAGACTTGTATGATACATCAGCTCTTGGACTTTATCCATGGAATTCTTTTAATGTTCAGTTATATATAAATTTTTTTCTGGACTATATCTGTGATTTTCCTACATAACAACACTTTTCTGAAATGTTGCCTAAAAAAAGCCCATCTGAAAACATCATTGCACCTCCAGTTGTCTTTTTCAGCCATAGCTCACTAAAATGTCCTAATATAGGGTATCATAACCCTTGGGAAGCAAAAACCTCAACTATGCCGGAAAAAGTCAGGGTGCAGCAAACACAAATGATTTGGTTTATTCAAGGTAAATTACATTAATTCGTCTCAAAGATGCTATTTCATGCACAGATATTTGCTTCAGTCTCAAAGCAGAAATCAGCAGAATAAATCCCACAGAAATATAAATCAATGATCCTCCCTAAACCTAAATGTAGTAACTCTTTAAGTCTTCATGTTATGATTATATTTCGCTAGGGGGAAAGAATATAAACAATGTTGCGCAGCCTTTTAAGATTTGAGGGAAATTTTCTTCAAATATTTTGTCAGAAAAATGTATGAATGTCCAGATATTTTTGAGTGGACCATCAATATAATTATTATTTTTTAAAATAAATAAATAGCACAGGTATTTTGGCATTTGCTGCCGCTGCAGTGGGAAATGTGAATATTCTCTCTGATTTCTCTCTATATAGTAGTAGTCTTAAGGTTCAGCTGCATCATTTTAGCCTATGTGTTTCATGTTAGACCTGTTTCTTTTCTGAATTGCAATGCAATTCCCTTCTCAGAAGAGAAACAACTGGTGAAGTTGATGAAGGTCAGTGCAGAATTTTTCTGTGCTGGGGCCCTGATTTTTCTCTTCCGTTTAGAAACATCCCCATGGATTGACCAGAAATGGTGATAGACCTTCTAAGAGTCCTTCTCTTCCCTTCCACTTACTGGCATTCCTACACAGTGCAGAAATTTGAGATGTTTGCCCAACCCTCACTCTGGGAAGTTCATTCACTCATGACAACAAAATCTAAAGAGCTATGAAGAATAAATTATGAGTATATAAAGAAAAAAACCCTATTCATACTAAAATTCAAAAGAGGAGCTTTAGCTGGACATGAGTTACATTTCAGGATGCATTGAATGGTTTTGAGAATTAAGACTATACAAATTAATTTAATGAGTAGAATCTCTTTATATGAAACTTATAAATATGGAGTTTTAATTACTTAAATAATAAAAAATGCTAGCAAAAAGAAGTTGCAATATTTTTAGTTGTACTTTTAACCCCAGAACATGTTGCTTCAGTACAAGTCCTGAGAGAAATATTTTATAAGTACTTCATAAAGAAAGATCTTCGGGTGCATTTGGGTGTTGAACACCAAAATTTGAGGAGAGAAAAGGTGTGTTTCTAAGGGATTGTTTCCAAATGCTCATACTTAAAATAGTATTTGGACATAATGTCAAATAATCATAAAAATATATTTCCACTTACCACTGTACACCACCATGGACATAGACACCAGCAGAATTACAATCATTTTTTGTTTAATCCAAAAACAAGGGAAAATTCACACAGCAGACTGGTGTGCCTGGTGAGTTAAGTAAAATATCAGACAGAATGTTATCTCTTCAGTCTGGGAGTGGGAAGACACCATCTTGGGAAATCATTCTTTTGTAGCCTGGATATATTTCTACTTGATAAAATTCAGTTTTTACCCTTATCACAGTAAATGCACATATCACAGGAATGTATAGCCTTATATATCCTTATTTTAGCAGTGTTCTCTAAAAGTCTGACTGACAGTCTTTATTTTGGTATTGCTTTGAATCAACAGACTCTGTGAAACTGCCATATTGCAATAAAATCATGCACTTGCAGTTTCTTTTGTTTTCCAAGCAGTTTTCACATCTTCTTTCATCTCACAAAATGTTCAAACAATTCTTATGCTTAAATGAAGATATTGTGAAACACTGTGTAAATGAAGATTTATTCTGATATTACATCTATGGATTCCAGTTTATCTGCAATCTATTGTATTTGTTTCCTATCACAAGAATTTGTAATTAAATATTTATTTTAATCTGTGTTAAGACTGATCTAATATATCATAAATTTTCCTAGTAAGAAATACGATGTTATTTGGAGATCTTTAGGAAATGTGTGTAAAAATTCTTCTAAATGTGTTTCACTAGTATTCATTAAATGGAAGATGATAGATTGCTTTTTAACTACGGTCACATATTACTTTAAATTTAGAACAATTTTACAAGTAAGTCAGGCATTGAGCTTTTTACAGCCAAATAAATGAACATATATATATATATCAGTTTTCAAATATGTATCAACTGATTATTATCTGATTTTCTGAACTCAAATATGGAATTAATTTATATTAGAAAATCTTGTAATATGTCATCAGGAAGTGAGATTATAAATCTAACATCCCTAAATATTTATAGACTATTTTCCCAAACCTCTTGCCTATATTTTTGTCTATTACTCCTCAGTCACAAATAGCTTATTCTACATTGTTTCTTCCTGCTTCCCTTATTATAGAGAATATCCAGAAAGACTTACCTTGAGGGATATTATCCCAAAGCAGCTGGGTGGAAGACAAATGAATATCAGCAAAGGCAGTACTAAGTTATTTATACCCACTTGGATATAGACCTCACCCATGTGATCACTTCCTTTATCAAACCCCCTTCAACATTTATTAATTAATTCTTCCATGAGATTCCTTAGAGCCATTATCCCACAGTGTATCTGGCAATATGGCTCCAGCCATGTAAAGGATCTATACCGAGAAGTCTGCTCTGCAGGTGCCTTCACCATATAATAACTTTCCCTAATACTCTTGGCTGTAATTAAATAACAGTCATCCCATTGTTATTAATCACTCACAAAATCTCTTGGGCATGTGAAAATGGCTTTAATAGCTTAGCAAGAGGTAGAGTTCGGTGATGAAAGATGAGTGAGAGTTTACACAGCTTTAAACACAGGCATTCCTCAGGGTTGGGAAGTCTTCTTTAATCTATCCACTGTGGCTCTGATCCAAGGCTGAGTGAAATCCAGGAGAAGTTGATTCAGTGAGCTTTGGGAAGGCTGCTTTTCATCAGCAAGGTGTGCTTTCTGCCAGGGCCAGGCACAGCTACCCTCCATGGAGTCCATCAACAGAGACAAACTGTCCACTGAATTGTAGCATGGAGAAGTGAGAAGTCTGACAACTGGGAATTGTAAAAATATTTACATGAGCAAAAGGCCCTTTGACTCTGTGACCTACAAGGCTTTCAGGGAGGCCTTTGACATGGTCACCCTTAAGATCCTCATGGAGAAGCTGTTGATATCTGAGCTGGATGTGCCTGGGGAGGAGGGTTGGAAATGGCCTGGTGGGGCCCCAAGGGTGGTGGCCAGTGGCACAAAGTCTATTTGGAGGCCAGTGACTGGTGGTGCATTCCAGCAGTCAGTGCTGGGTCCAGCCCTGCTTAGACTCTCCATTAATGATCTGGATGATGGGGCAGAATGGACCTTCAGAGGGCTGGCAGGTGACACTCAGCTGGGATGAGTGAGTGGCATTTCTGCCATCCAGAAGGACCTCAAAAGGAACTCCATGAAGTTCAACAACAAGTGCCAAGTCCTGCACCTGGAGAGGTGCAGCCTCAGTTTGTGCTGGGGAACACCCAGCTGGGAAGCAGCTCAGTAGAGGAGGACCTGGGGTCCTGGTGGACACAGGCTTGAACAGAGTAAGAGGTGTGCCCTTGCAGCAGAGAGGGCTCAGGATGTCCTTGGCTGCAATGGGCAAAGTGCTGCCTGCAGACTGAAGGAAGGGGTCCTGCCCCCCTACTCTGCACTGGTGAGGCCACACCTGCAGGGCTGTGTCCAGTTCTGCGCTCCTCAGAACAGGACAGACATGGAAAAGCTTGAGACAATTCAGGGAAGGGACACAGAGATGATGAAGGGACAAGAATATCTCTCATGAGGAGGGGACAAGAGATCTGTAACTCTTCATTGGAGGAGTCTTGGGAGGTCTCATCAATCCAGGGAACACTTGAGGGGAGGGTGCCAGGGGATAGAGCCAGTCTCTGTCCAGTGGTGCCCAGTGACATGGCAAGAGGCAATGGGCACAGACTGAGAGCTGCTGCAACAGACCAAGATCTTCCACAGCATAGCAGAATCATGGACATGTTACAGCACTTCTTGAACTTCATGAAGTTTCTGGTGGCCCATTTCTTCAGCCTATTGATAGCAGCATGTCTTATTCCCAGTATATACTCCCTGTATCAACATTCCTATTTATTCCATTGGCCTAACTTTCAATATCTGCTGTAATTGGTACTTCTCCAATCTATCCTGCTCTTTGGCATGGCAGAAGTTTTTCTCTCACACTATTGAGCACAACAGTGAAATATAATTTGGAAGTGAGTTACTGCATCCCACCTCTCCCTGGGGTCAGCATTGCTTATATTGCCACTTTTCTCCTTGGCTCTGCCTTTGAACACCTCTTTCTTCAGTGAAATGTCAATGTGTAACAGCTATAGTGCAAATAAACTCCTTTAAAAACAATATTAATGGCTTGAGAACATACTCTGGGTAAATAGTAGCATAATGTTGCTGCAGCATAGAAAAATATGGGATCATGCAATTGATTTGGTTATTCTTTCATTTTTTAGAACTGGATTTTAGTTCACCAGACTTGCATATAAAGGACATGAAGACCAGGCTGGAAGAGTCTCTGAGAAACTTGATCCAGTGGGGTTGGAAACAGATCATCTTTAATGCCCCTTCCAACCCAAACCATTCTATAATTCCATGTTTCTACAAATCCTGGTGAGTTCACACAAATATAACTCAAAGTACAAGAGATCCTGTCACTTCCTGGGTTGACACTGCATAACAGGCATTGCTGAAGTAATGGAAGATTTTGTTCAGAAGATAATCTGCATGTGTTTAACACCAGAGAGTCCTTCTTGTCTTCAGTATTTCAGGTTGGTTTTAAATTACTTCTCATTTGTTAATTTTGATTACAATGTCTCAAATGTCAATAAAATAAACTGTTTCCATTCACTACCCAACCATGTAAATATCCTTTATAAAATAAGATTTTTAAAAGCCTTTCAGTTCTTTTATTGCGGTTACATCACTTGTATAAAATATCTCTGTTTTTTACACATTATTTTTACAATGCCTTGGAGGAGGAGACATTTCTAGGTTAACATCTGGTTAATAGCTTGCCTGATTTCAAATATTTGCAAATAACATGTTGCTTTCTGATTTTTACACTGAGAAATCAAAAAGAAAACTAAAACTGCCACCAGTCTTCGAACTTGCAGTAAAATTTCCCAGTGCTCTAAACTGATGTACAGATGTTTTTAAGGCATTTTTGCTTTAATGCTGGAAGAACACAAGAAAATATTAGTTAGAAGATATTTTACAAGGAAATATTAAAACATGCATGAAGGTAAAATAATACTTTTTTTTTAATCATTTAAAAATCATTATCAGATAAAATAGTTATCTGATGAAATACAGCAATTATTCTGTGGATATAGAAAAATCTTTTATCTTCATAATAAGGTATGTAGAGCTATAGAGATGTAAAGTGAAAATGTACTTACTGTGGGAGTAAGCAACTCTTTTGACTCTTTCGCAGACATAACTTGCATTTTTCACAAACCAGGAATAGTATTCAACACAGTACCTGAAGATGGAGTTGCAGATAGGAGATGCAGTTAAAGATAAGAGGCTTGTTATCTTTCATAAGGAGAGGGACTTTGGACAAGGACATGTATTGATAAGGAGGAATGGCTTCAGGCTGAAAGATGGCAGGTTTAGATTAAATATTAGACAAAAATTCTTTACTGTGAGGGTGGTGAGGCAGTGGCACAGGTTGCCCAGAGAAGCTGTGGATGCCCCATCCCTGGAAGTGTTCAAGGTCAGGTTGGATGGGGCTTGGAGCAGCCTGATCCAGTGGAAGGTGTCCCTGCCCATGGCAGCACAGTAGGAACTAAATGGTCTTTAAATCCCTTCCCACTCAAACTAATCTATGATTCCATGATAAGCATGGTATATCTAAATAATGCTAAATATGGAAATAAAAAGCTAGATTCCAACCCCAGTGATGTCATTAGATGCTTGGAAAAATGCATCTGGGCTTTTTACACTTAGCTGAAATACTGAAGCCAGAACAGGTGCACTGGGACATATTTGGGTCTTAGTCTGTGGCCACAGACTCTCCAAAATAATCATTGGTGATTGAAAATTGTCATTTGGGGGAAAAAAAAGCCTGAAGGATTATTTTAAGCAGACAGAGAAAGAAAAACTTGTGCCAGGTTTTACCTCATGGCTTCCTTTCTGGAATATCTTCTCTGACCAACACAGAGGCACAGCTGAAAGAACCTACAGAGCTCCATCACACAGGGCTTGATCTTCTGCACTACGAGAGTGACGGGAGGTGAGGTCACACGGGGCTCTCTGAGCATCGCCTGTGGGCACCCTGGGGGAACACACAACCCTGAAATACCCCAAATACCTGTCCCACTGAATATCTTACTGTACAAAGCAATGGGGAGGGAGGGAGGGAGGTGAAGGGAGGGAGGGAGGTGAAGGGAGGGAGGGAG